CTGCACACGTCTGGCTACTGCTAACTGATTACAGAAGCTAACCAGTTGCTATTACAAGCATCAGCAAACAGGATAAATGAAAGACAGAATCAGCCAGATACTTGTGGATTAAAAGAGAAAAAGAAGCTTTAATAAAAGAGTCAAATCCAGATAAAACAAAATATAAAAATAGATTTAAATAACAACACAATCAGGCAGAAAATCCAAAGGGAAGAGGCAAAAGTCAGAACTAGAACATAATACATGCACTAAGAAAAGAACACTGAGTAGCTTGTAACAGAAGCAATGCCTCACGAAGACTAAAGCTAAAAGCTCGGGCTTATAAACTGTAGTACCTAGGCCATATGACACATACAGCAGGTGAACAGAATCAGGGATCCAGTAAGGCAGATCTCTGATATGTTGAGTGGGATGATGTCATAGTCATGTGATCATTCAGAGGATTCTGGGAAATGGAGTCCTCCTGAGACTGAGAGCCAGAGGGATGCATGACAACTAAACAGTTAAAGGTTATGTGAAACAGCAAAAATAAGTTAATAATTTGTATTTTTCCCTTTGATGTTCTTTTTTGCTTTTATTCCTGTAAAGCAAACTGAATTGTCTTTGTGTATGAAATGTGCTACATTTAATAAACTTGTCTTTCCTATATGCATACACTGGTTATTTCTACATTAATGTTTTTCTTAAATGATACCCACTTGCAGTTGATGGTGAACACACCAGTGAGCCAGGAAGTTCTTCAGTGGGTGAACAAAGTTCTTCAAGATCACAGTGATGAGTTGAATGCTGAAATTTCATTTTTAAACAGCAGCTGGAAGACTAAAGGGAAGGTGGATTAAGAAGAGCAGCCTGTTTGTTTTAGGAAGATTATCACTAATGCGTCACAGATGATCTTTAAAAACAAAAAGTTTATTGTAATTTCTAGTGTCAGTAGTTAACTTGCTGTTCAACATAAACCATGTATGTTTAAACAGTTTTGCTTGACTCCTGTGTTTAAATAACTTCTTCATAAAATAAAGGTTTGAGGAATAACCCTTAAATGGGTAAATAACTTTTTATTAGTTAAAGATATTTACATTATGTGAAGATTGTTTCTAAAAGGTTCTTTACACTCAGACATCTTATTTACAAACTTGGTTCTTTACAGAAGTAATGGTTCTTCCATGCCATCACATAAAACTTTTTGTGCCACTTTTTTCAGTAACACATAATAACAGGCCCCTACTAATATGAACATAATCATTATTTAATAGTTTATTAATGATCATTAATTATTATTGAATTATTACTTGTGTTTTAATAACTTCTACCATTTGAATTATCAACGATTTATTTGTTGACATATGGAAAATCTATAATAGTTTTGAATTGTAGTTCAATGTTGATTTTGTTATTTTATATTCATGAAGTATGTAGCTTGAAATATTATGTATGTACTTGCAGGAAAACATCTCATAATAACTATAAATTAACATCTTGTTTTAAATGATACATTTTTATTTACTATTATGTCTGTCCTTTGTTATGCGTACAGCTTCCCTTAATGTTTAGTTAATCGTTATTTTGTGGTTTACATGCATTTTTAAACATTAATAATGATTAAATGGGTCCCTATAATGTTGTGTTGCAACTTTATACACATATTTACAACATTTTACAACCCCATTTCCAAAAAAGTTGGGACGCTGTGCAATACAAAATGCAATGATGTGCAAATCATTTAAGCCCTATATACAACTGAAAATGGTACAAAGACAACATATCAAATGTTGAAACTTTATTGTTTTTTGAAAAATATATGCCCATTTTGAATTTGATGCCAACAACACATTCCAAAAACGTTGGGATAGGGGCAACAAAAGGCTGGTAAAGTTGTGTAATTCTACAAAAAAACACCTGGTGGTTGATTGACAACAGGTCAGTAACATATTTGGATATAAAAGAGCATCTCAGAGAGTCTTTCAGAAGTAAAGATGAGGAGGGGTTCACCACTCTGTGAAAGACTGCATGATCAAATAGTGCAACAATTCAAGAATAACATTTCTCAATGTAAAATAACAAAGAACTTCTGCTTTTCATCATCTACGGTACAAAATATCATTAAAAGATTCAGAGAATCTGGAGAAATCTCTGTATGTAAGGAACAAGGCCAATAACCAGTATTTGCTGGCCGTGATCTTTGGGCCCTCGGGCAGCACTGCATTAAAAACAGACATGATTCTGTAGAGGAAATCACTGCATGGGCTCAGAAACACTTCTGAAAACCACTGTCTGTGAAAACAGTTCATCACTGCATCCACAAATGCAAGTTAAAACTCTAAAACACAAAGAAGAAACCGTACATAAACAGGATCCAGAAACACTGTCACCTTCTCTGGGCCTGAGCTCATTTAAAATGGACTGAGGGGAAGTGTAAAAGTGTCCTGTGGTTCGACGAATCAACATTTGAAATTCTTTTTGGAAATCATGGATGCTGTGTCCTCCGGGCTAAAGACCACTCAGCTTGTTATCAGCGCACAGTTCAAAAGCCAGTATCCATGATGGTATAGGGGAGCATTAGTGCACATGGCATGGGTGACGTGCACATCTGTGAAGGCACCATTAATCCTGAGCGATATACACATGTTTTGGCAACATATGCTGCCATCCAGACGACGTCTTTTTCAGGGAAGGCCTTGATTATTTCAGTAAGACCATGTAAAACCACATTCTGCATGTATTACAACAGCATTGCTCCATATTAAAAAAAAGTCACCACTGAAAACATTTGCCTCATTGTAAAATGAAGAATATGACAAATTAGCCCCCAAACTGTTGAGCAGCTGAAATGTTATATCAGACAAGAATGGAAAACATTTCACTTTCAGACTACAGCAACTAGAGTGTTGTTAAAAGAAGAGCTGATGAAACACAGTGGTAAGCATGCCCCCGTCCCAACTATTTTGAAATGTGTTGAAAGCATCAAACTCAAAATGGGCATATATTTAAAAAAAAAAAACAATACAATTTCTGTTTCAACATTTGAAATATTGTCTTTGTAGTATTTTCCTTTAAAAGTATGATTTACATCATTTACATATCAATGCGTTTTATTTTTATTGACATTCTGCACAGTGTCCCAATTTTTTTGGAAATGGGGTTGTATGTTTATATTTATAAAGAAACATTGTATTACTTAATACACTTAAATATCAGAAATATCAGTCAATCATGTGGAATTCCTTTGTGCATACAAACTTACATTCGTAGTTTCTGCTCAGGGTCATTAAAGGCAACACTGAGCTTTAATAAAGCATTGCTTATACAGGAAAGTTTAAGTGACTGATGGCCATGCAGAGCGGCCATGCGCACGGGCTCTTGGGAGGGTGCTGCTCCCAGTAGATGAGAGACTTGCATCTGTAAATAAGTTGCTGTTAGACTGTGACGTCTGTGACTGTGGGGAAGTTAAGTAGGTCTATGTGTCTGCTGGGAATAGGAAATGAATGGCTAGAGGAGACCTGTCTGCTTCCTGGCCATTTCGGTAGTGCTGAAAAAAAACATAGTCTTTTCAGATACATCTGGCTTATTTACAGTTTCACTGATGCTGTTTATTAAACTTATAATTGTTCCTATACTCAATTTGGGTATAATCATGTAACCCTTTAACATATCATTTACAATAAAGTACAATTTCAAAGCAGAAACTTTCCTGTGTTTTTTCTTTTGCCCTGGGGGAAAATAACCCCAGCACAGCAGCTGATACCTAAATATAATGCACAGTTATCAATTATTTTATTTAACACAACTTAAGTCACTTAATGAGCTGACCTCATACAAAAGTATTGCTGTATACAGGAGATAATCAGTCATTCAAACTAAATTTCAAACGCATGATAATCCGGTTTGGTTTTAGTTTGCATGTTAGCAGTGACTGCTAACCTGAGGGAAATTTGTGGAACATAATTAAGGTAAACCAAACTTCTTCATGCTTCATCCCTCGTTTTCTCTTCATGCTCTCTTAATCCTTAAGTTTTAATCCTTTTGTTAATCTTGTTTCTTCCCAAATTCAACCTAATATTTATTCGGCTCAAAGTTCTGACTGTGAAAGTATGATGATACTATCATAAATGGCGTTTTAAATGGTGCTTTAACTGTGCTACCATTGGCTTCCTTGGAAATGGTCATCAAATTGACAGCCACAAAATTATTGTTTGTGTGTATTTCTAATGTTAGAGGGTTTTTCTGAGATTCTCCAGTGTCACAATTTGTGGACACTAAGTGATATTGCTTTGAGTTCTGTCCCCTCCGTCCTCCAGCCCGTGACCCTAAAATCAACCTAATCCGCCATCTTTAACCCCTTAAATGGCCAGGGCCCCTTTGATGAGCCCAAAGTGTTCTGTAATCTAGGAATAGCTCAGCTAGTTTGCATGGAAGTCCCTGTAGTTACTTAATAATAAGCCTTAGTATATAATGAGCCTGAGATTTTAAGAATTAAAAGACATATCAGTGTCATTGGTTCCTCAATAAGCATCTACGATGATTCATGTGCATTTCATTTCATTGTATTTATGATGTTCTGTTCTATTCAAAGTTCAGTAAAATGGCCTGAGAGGAATGGAGGAGCGAGGAAGCTTCCAGAGCAAGCAATTGTATGTGCATCCTAAGATGTTCTATTGCAGCATGTGAAGTAGGTCTGTGGAACATTTCCTCCCTCTGTGTTTTTATTAATGGGATGTGACTGTGATGGTTTCATGAAAGTTAACGAATATTTTGTGTATCTGAAATTCAGTAAATCATGCTGATGTGGAAAGTGGGTTTATTAGAGGATAGATTTAGGGTTTATTATGGCCAGATCTTTTGAGGCCAGTAACAGGTTAGGAAAGTGATGCAACATGATGCAAGGAAAGGAAATGAGAACATACAATAAAATATTTGAGTAGAAATCTAGAGGTGGGTGAAGGAAAACCAGGAAGGAATTTTAAAAAATGAGGAAAAAGAATTACTAATAAAGACAACAACCATACAGTCTCCACCTTTATTCAATGAATGCACCCAAAAAAAGACTGTTTACACCAAACAATGCTATCAGATTTTTCATTAGAAAGCTTACCTAACTCTAGCATGAAAACACATCCTTTAGAAAACCTTATATGTAGAAAAACGTACGTATGTGTAAATTTGTTTAAAAATATAACTAGCATTAAAATCATGGCCACCCACTGCTTTTTTCCATCACTGTCAGAACAAAATCTTGTATCTGTGAAATGGTCACTTTACAAGAAAAGAACCTGTATTGGAATTTAATGGAACAAGAATTTTTGCCCAAGTAATTTTGCAGCATTTTATTGTTCCACTTTTTCTTGAAATTTAAACACAATACAAGGGGAAACTAGACATTTCAAAATTTGACAATTTGGCATGAAAAATGATAAAAATGCAGATACAAGTTTTTTGCATGACAGCAATGATACATCAAAAAGCATAATCATTTATAATTTAATAAATCTGACAAAAGTTGTTATATTTAACCTTTTTAAATTGATTTTTATGAACAAGCAGAATTAGGTATTTCAGTAGAAAATCAAAAATATTTGTGACAAAAATTATGAAAATTTTATTAAGTTTTAAAGATTTTTTTTTTTTTTGTTTAGTATATTTGAACCTGCTAGTTTCATTTTATTATTTGTGCTTATGATCATTTAAGACAATTGCACTGCTTTCATAGACTAGTTTGGCTAGTTATAAGTGCAAGTCAAAATGTTATCTGAATGATTTTCTGTCATTTGATGGGTTCAGTGTTTCAGTGTGATCTATCAGCCTTAAAGTCACCCAAACTGACATTCTAATTCTAGTCTTTTTGTTGATCAAATAACCCCATATCATTAAAATCCATTATCTACATAACTGCAACATCACACTGTATTACAAAGTTGAATTTCACAAAGCTTGTAAATGAGTTTCACACAAACTAACACCACAATGGACTAAATGGAAAATTCATTAAAGAAAACAGGATTTATGTATTTCTCAGAGTAAGGCACCCATTAAATCTGCAGGTATTCCTGAATCTGCGATCTCCAAAAATTCTTCACAGCCTTTTTCATATCTTTGTCTTCTTTACAGTCTGTTCTCCTCAGTAATTTTTTTGTCAGTGGATCCGAAGATCCAAATCTAAAAGTTGCATAAAATATAAATGATTATTTTTAATGTAGTATTTCCTCGGCTTGTTAGGAACAGACTATGAAATCCAAATAATGACTTTATCATATATGAATTAAGCATAAACTAAGTGTACAGCGTAGTTGAGCATACCTCTTGAGATGTTCTTCAATAGCTTTGCGCTCATATGTAAATCCATCTTTCGTTTTAACTGGCTCTATAAACAGTTTCTTTGTCAGTGGGCATACCAGATTAGGAGGTGTCACCATCTTGGACATTTCTGGAACATATTTCTGAAACACATAAAACAGTGATATTAGTTTTAAAAGTGTACAAAACTATTGAGATCTAATCACCACTGCAGATGTTTGTGCAGCATTTCTAATCATCTGCCTGACTGAACAGATACAGTGTAATCTGTATTGCTCCGATATGATAATGCACCTCAGTGGATCCTATTTATTTTCAGTTTGAGGCCCTGTATGTGGTGCACATGATGGGATCAGCATGTTAAGTTTGGTAGATGCAGTGTGTCGTTAAAGTTGATCAGAGCTGAACTTTATGTGAAAATTGACCCAATGCTACATGTTTAGATATAAATATGCTGCTATTAGTAGCTTCGACTTAATGGGTGAAAGAATCATTGTTTATTCCGTGCTCCTGTAAGACATGTAAGAACAGCTACAAAAACCTGAATATTTAAACACAACTGTTTAATCTTTAACATTTCAGAAGAGTGGCTGAACAGCCCAGACTGAAATCAAAGCTGCTGCCCCTCATATCTGATTCTGTCCAATTTTAACATATTCATTATTTCAGAAAATATTATCACTTACTGTGAATATTGATTTGGATAACACATCCAACTGATAAGAGGAGGAAGCCCTCACACTCATTGCTGTGTTGTCAAAATGCAAGCCCTTCCATCCTGTGTCGTTTTCTTATGCAAGTCTATTTTAATTTCACTTCCAGAGTCAGAGACAGTGTGGATTGGATGCATGGATAGAGGCTGTGCTTACCTGATACTGGCATATCTTGTCTGGTATGAGTTTAGTGTTAGAGAGCAGTTTTCTATTAGACTTATAAGCCTTCACATGTTAGCTGTAGACCGACGATGGCAAACTGGATATTTCATTGTTTTCTATGGAGCCATGATGGAAAATTCTGCCAGCGCAGTTATGGAACTCTGCAGACTGCAGCGGTAAGCGAAATGTCAAGAGTTAAATCTTCCCAACTTTGGGCATCGGGAGCTATGGACACCAAACACTTCAGTGTCGAATCCAGATGAACCCAGTTTTACACAGCAAAACACAAAAGAATACAGAACATCCTTCTTAGATAAACAGTCTACATGATAAAAGATGATTATCAAAGGAAGCTTTTACACTGGTAACGCTGTCACCCTGCCAAAGCTTGCATGGCTTCATGCCACTGACAGTTGTCCACCGCAGTATGATGCAGAACACGGAAACGCAGCGCAAGTTTCTCCAGGGGGTGCTATCCACACTAAGGTATCTGTTGTGCTTCATAACAGTGGCACTTCACATAAATGACACTGTGTGATCTTGTTTTAAGTGTAATTATTACTAATGATTTGCACGGCACACATTACCTTTTCTGCTTCATCCATTGATGAACTTGCATTGTTTTCTGTGTTTTTCCGAGCTTCTTCTTCATACTTTTCCTTGCTAGACATGAATTCTTCTGCCAGAATGCTTAGTAGACCACAAAGAATTATTATCTACAATTATTCATCTATTCAAAATGAAAATATTGTCAATATAGCATGTCTTCAGTAAGAATGTGGAAAGTATTGATAAAAACTTTCTTTTTTTTAAATCTGTTCTTTTTTTCAATCAGTTAAAAGAACAAGAGAACAATAAGTGCAATGACAAGAAGTGAGTGCATTTAAACTCACATCTGCCAACTTTGATGATTATTGAGAAAGTTGGGTGATCTTTAATTGATTAATAATTAAAAAAAAACAACTGATTGTTGTTTGGATTCTCATACAGTTCCCTTACAGAGAGAGTATAATAGTCACTGTTACATATAAGTCCAATAAATAAGACATGACACTAAAATTGTTCTTTGTAATTATACACCAGTATGATTCCTAACATGGCATGATTCCAAACCACAAACATCCATTCTTTTCCAAGCTCCAAATGCCCAACAGCTCTCCTACAGAGTCATATTGGTTCTGAAAGTTTAACACTGACAAATGATAGAAGAAAACTGTGAAATGTTTACCTGTCTAAGGGATCCTCTGGCTCTGGAGCTATCAGGAGCCCATATACAGCATCCAGAATCTCTCGCATGGTGATTTGGGCCGAGTAGTTACGATCAAATATGTTGTGGCAGATTCGTCCCACACTGTTTACATTGCAGTGGTAAATCTTTAATACACCAGAATTAAGGATTCTCACAAGAACTCAACAAAACAAATTTAAAGGACAGGTTTCTGGTAAAAACTGCTTAGCAAATGTTGCAACTAACACAAAAATAATTATATTTTTAATCTAATGGAGATGAAAAGAAATAATTTTTCAAACATAAGGATACAGGTGTGAAGAATCTCATTAGTGGTGGCTTCACAGGGTAGTCAGGACCAAACTCACAATAGAGCTCAAAAACACCATTCTCGTAAGGTGTATCAGGAGGACCTTGCAACAGAATCTTCCAGAAGGCTACAAGCAATGTTGTAATAGCAACAGATATACAATTAGATCCATCCTGTCATTTTGTGTAACTTTGTATTCATCACTCATTTTCTAGATAACACATTTACATGCAACACTAAATTACATGCTATGATTTTCAGAAAACATACTGAAGATAAATATAGTGGGAAACATTCTTCAGAAAACTCACTTTTACATTTCTGTACTTTTACACTCATTAGCCATTTTATCAGAAATACTGCATGCACTATTTTGCCAGCAGTATGTGGACACCTGACTACACCTATGTGAGCTTGCTGGACATCCTATTCCAAAACCATAGGCATTAATATGGAGTTGGTCCCCCTTTGCGGCTCTAACAGCTTCCACTCTTCTGGGAAGCTTCTACAAGATGTTGGAGAGTTTGTGGGAATTTCTGCCCATTCATCCAGATGAGCATTTGTGAGGTCAGACACTGATGTTGGACGAGAGGGTCTGGCTCACAATCTCTGCTCTAGTTCATCCCATAGGTGTTCAGTGGGGTTGAAGTCAGGGCTCTGTGAGGCCACTGGAGTTCCTCCACACTAAACTGGTCACTCCATGTCTTTAAGGAGCTGCTTTGTGCACAGGGGCTCAGTCATGCTGGAACAGGAAAGGCTCTTCCCCAAACTGCTGACACAAAGCTGGAAGCAGATAACTGTGTAAAATGTCTTTGTGCTGCAGCATCAACATCACCCTTCACTGGAACTGAGAGCCCAAACCCTGAAAAACAGCCCCGCCCATCATCCCTCCTCCACCAAACTCTACTGTTGGCACTGCATTCCGGTAGGTAACGTTCTCCTGACATCCACCAAACCCAGATTCATCATCAGACTGACAGACAGAGAAGCTGATTCATCACTCAGAGAACACGGTTCCACTGCTCCAGAGTCCAGTGGTGGCATGCCACTGTACCCCTCAATCCAATAGAGGACAGACACTGCGCTTCAGCTCTCTGTGAGTTTGAGTGGTCTACTGCTTCGGGGCTGAGCTGTTGTTGCTCCTAGACGTTGCCATTTCACAGTAACAGCACTTACAGTTGTCTGGGGCAGATCTAGCAGGACAGAAACTTCACAAACTGACTTGAGGCAGAGGTGGCATCCTATGACAGAGCCATGTTTAAAGTCACTGAGTTCTTCAGTGCGATCCTCTAATGCCAGTGTTTGTCTAAGGAGACTGCAGGGCTATGTGTTAATTTTATACACCTGTTCGTAAAAAGTATGGCTGAAACACCTGAACTCAGTAATTAGGAGGGGTCCACATATGTTTGGCTATATAATGTAAGAGCAGGTGTAGGTTTACCATTGCTGACTGTAGTTCATGTGTTTCTGGGTTTCTAAGGAACTTAGCAAACATAGTCCTGGACACCTTTAGTATTTCAAAACGATTTCTTTTCAGGTAAAATGTCATTAGTTTTTAATCACTTTTAATTAATACTCACTGAAATCAGATTCAGAAGGGAGAACGGTACAGTATGGATGGGGGTCACAGTGAAGACTCTTGAGCTCCTCCAAAATCCTTTTGTCTTTCTCCATGAAGCGACCTGATTTGGATTCCATGATCTTCTTTTTCAGTACACTGGGTTTGAAAAAATTACAACGCATTATTTCTTTATGTATATGTCCCTAAAGACCACCTATTATGGGTTAAATTTACCTTTGAAACAGAACTGAAAAAAATCACTTTTTATGTGGCACAAACTGAATTACAAAATTTGGGCTTTGTTATCTGTAGCTATTGGTGACGGCTGTTAACAGTAACAATGGTCATTGTGCCTCATGAACCCTTTGTAAATATTTGAAAACTGCAAGAATACTGTAAATCTCCTGAAATATATGTAATATGGAAGGTGGAAACTTTCCATCGCTTTCACATACACCACATAAACACTAAATTTATTTGTAGAATGTCTGTATAAAAATTGCTAAATTGGCAAACTAGAGCCTCGTAGTATTGCAGAATAACTGAACGGCGCCAATTACTGCATTTGACATTTTTTCCATCACAAAGAAGCATTTTTCATTGCCAAGTTCACTTTTTCACACTCATGCAGAAATATGCAGCTCAGCAGAGTTTATTTCATGCCTGAAATGCTCAGAGTTATAACACATCTCAGGACGCACTGAGTCTATCAGAACATCTACACTAGAGTCCTTGTAACAGGAACACTCTCAATCAGAGCACAATCATCTCAGTAACACTAATAACTGATGGTATTAAGGTTGTTTTCATATTGTATGTAAATCTAATAAGTGTTGGAGTTATTTGCTCTTATTACTTCATTTTTTCTTTGGCTGATCATGTAAACATCTCTCAACAGTGGAACATGGCAGAAGTTAATCTGAAATGTTTTTGAGGTTTGATTTGATGTCAAATATTGATGTTCAACTGAAATTTTGCTTTGCATTGTTTCATTGAAGGTATTTATTTGGGTTGAATAAAAGCAGTTACATTGTTCATGACATTACATTTTTAGGTTGATTTTGAAAAAGCACCCTGTATTAACACACCGTTCAATAAATGGAACCGTGCTACAGAGGCCTAGCTTATTGAGGTTTCACAGAGAATGCTCTTACAATCACCTTTTAGTTAGATAGATAGAACTTTATTGATCCCGGAGGAAAATTGCAGTGTTTCAGTAGCAAGACATATAATTGCACATAAACTTACATATACGCATAGCTACAACGCACAGTTCAATGTCCGGCTTACAGATTACTTCTTTAACCGTGACGTGACCAGGATTACACCATCTGTTGTTCACGAACACAGCCAGCCCTCCTACCTTCTTCTTACCAGTTCGCTTTTGGTCTCTGTCGCCCTCACAGTAGTAAAACCATTCAGATGAACATCAGAGTCAGGTACACAGGGGCTCAGCCATGACTGCATTCCCAGTATTCCCGTTGTGTCCGTGTTAGAGCACACAGTTCGTCCATTTTGTTAGCCAGTGACCGTACGTTCCCCATAATTATTGAAGGAAGATTTGGTTTGTATCTCGGCTTCTTTTCCCGCTGTGTCTCTCCCGCTCTGCAGCCCCGGTAAGGATGTCTCAGCTCCGCTGGAATCACCGGCCGCTGCGATGTAAACAAAGCCGCCGGCTTCCGCAGCGCAATCAGCTGGGTAGAATGCATGGTGCACGGTGCAGTCTGAAAGTTCCGTCTGAAAGTTCCGTCTGAAAGTTCCGTCTGAAAGTTCCGTTAAATTATTCATTGAAAAGTCAATAAAAGCTTTAAAAAGTTGTGCAACAGCTTTAGACCCTGTCCCAATATCCAGAACAGAAAGAAAGTGGGCAAAAAAGACCCCAAAAAAACAGAAGACGCAGACACGGAGCTACTGGAAGAGGCAGCCACCTCAAGTGGTGCCGGAAATAGACTGTCGACCACTTCTGCAGCAATGGTCGTACCACCTCTGGTTGAGAGTTGATCAAGATGTTTGCTTGTGGTGCTGTCCTCTCCGTGGCCATATAAAAGTTGATTCTACCCCCATGTCGGTCCAGCTGAGCGCAATTCTTGATTTTGCATAGAACTGATGGGGTTTCCAGTTCGGCATGGTGTATTTGCCCAGGTGTGGCTGAAGGGACATTTTGCTGTTGATTGAAAGTCTGGACCAAGCAAGAGCGGCATGTACAGGCTGTCATTTTCCAGGATCAGGTTTGTAGGACACATCATGGAGCTTGAGAACTAGAGGAAATTTGCCCACTGCTTTGCTCTCTTGACCATCTGCCATAATAAAGGCTTGATTTTGACAGCACATCAAATCTTCATTTTTTCTGGCAATTTGTTTCCACAGGCTTTTCTGCATACGTGTGTATGTACTGCCAGTGTCCAACACAGCATCACCTTTGGCTCCACAAATCTGTATGGGACAATGAGAAGAGAGGGCACTCCTTGCACTGTAGCAAGATCACTGTCACCAAAATGCTTTTCCCCACCCTTTTTTGGTGGTTTCTTGACTTGGCATTCTCCTGAGCTGACGTTTTGCACTCTGCTCCAGTAGTCCTTTGAGGAAGCCCAATCTTTCTCTATCATTGATCCAGTCTTGACAAGCTGATCAACTGTTGATACTATACCCCTTAATCCACTAGCCAGCCAAGGATTACAGGCATTGAGAATCCTCCGCACCATCTCCTCCTCTGGCATTTCCGGGCGTCACTTCAAGCAAAGTGGCCTGTAGTCATAAGCAAAATCTATTAGCCTCTGGTTTGGAGTTTGCACCATGGCATGGAGCTGCTCCTCGATTTCTGCAGTATAATCTTCGGACAGAAAAGCTTCCAAAAAGGCAATTTTGAACATGGGCCAGTTTTTAATTCGTCTTTTTGTGGCCTGCCATCAACTTCGAGCTGGACCCTGCAATACAGCATTGAGTGTTCCCAGCAGCTCCTGATCACTCAGCGGCCGAAGAGTCAGGAAGTTTTCACAGTGCTCAATGAAGTTAGTGACATCAGATAAGCTTGTGGATTCACCAAACTTCGGAAAGTCCATACAAATAGGTGGTACAGACAGTAGACTCAGAGCCATAGAGCTGGCTTTACTGGGAAATGATTTCACAGCAAGTGTTGATGTTGTGAGGGCTTTAAGAGCTTCCGAGAGCTTCTGCGTGAGGTTTCTCTTAATTTTTCCTCCCACACATGATCACGATGATGAAGACAGTCAACAATTGTGCAGTCAAGATGGCTAAACCTTTCATCTATATACTCCTTTATATTGATGGACAGTTTGTTGTTTCTCTTAGCCCTTCTTCCCTACTGAGGGAGGAATCAACCACATCTTTAAGGTGTACTTCTAATGCTTCTACTCTCTCAGCGAGTCTGTGAAGTTGCTCTCCAAACAAGCCAAGCTCATTGTTAACATCATCAGCATCATCATCATCATCTTCATGTTGGACAACAGATGGTTTAGGATCATCCAAATATAACGGTTCAAGTAGGCTAGAAACCTCAGTGATATCCCCCCATGGCTGCCTCCGTGTTACATGCTGAGCCGGTCTATCTTGCTCTTCAGCCACCTCCATTTTGTGAAAAAGTGAAAGGAGGGCCTTGGATATCCTAGGTGTACCAATGTATGAAGGTATGTAAGTGTATAGTGTATATAATTTAGATTATGTGTGAATTGCACGTGTAGGTGTTACTGTAGATGTTACTGATGCATCAGTTTAGCTCTAAATAAAGCTATGCACACAGTTAGCAAAGGACAATGGTCTGGTATGAGCTAAACAAACTGTTACCCCAAGTGCTGTATGTGACAGCCTCACAAAACAAACACCTTTAGTAAAAAAAAACAAAAAAATAACAACAAATCAAAAATGTGTTTGATATGCTTAAACTGTGCGGAAGTGAGCTCAAACGAGAACCTTACGGCCAGAATACCCTCCCTGTATGGGCCACCATATGTAAAAAGCACCCTGTGTTATCCCACCGTTTAATAAATGGAACTGTGCTACAGAAGCCTAGCATATTGGGGTTCCACAGAGAACGCTCTTACAATCACCTTTTAAGGTCGGGGCGGCGCAGTACATCACCCTCAATTGAGCTCACCACGCCTACAACCCACAGCAGCTGCAGCATTTAATGATCTATTTACGAGTGTGTTTCCTCTCCCAAACACCCAAAAATGTCCGTGCCAAGCTAGTAAAGTATATACACATGTACATAAACATACACACACAATATATACAGTTCGCTCGTTGACAATAACGTCAATATTAGGATTCAACAATCCCATGTTTTATCGTGTGCAGTTCCACAAGCGAGAAGTATGTAAGGGAGACAGAGTATGGCGAGCAATAAACGCGCAGAGACACGGCGGTCTCAAGTTCCAAGCCAGGTTGCTCCCCCCATACGGCCTCCTCGGCTTTAACAGCGGTGCGAGTCCGTGGTTACTCCTTTGCCCAACTCTGTTTAGTGTTCAATGAAAAAAGTCACCAACAGCAAAAGTCATGCGTACAACTGCAAACAGTGAACAAAAAAGCAGAGAAACTAGATCCCAGGGAGAAACTGCCCACGCTCATTCCCTCTCTCCCGCCATGCTCTCCCTTCCTTGTTTTGTTTTTGCCGCTGTCCTGTGATTGGCCGATTGTCCCATGACGTAGTGAGTATAACAGGTTACATAAGTTCATAGAAAAAAAGCTCAGAATCGCCCTCTTTTCCACAGGCAATTCATTATTAACGCTCTTATCTATGTAACAGATAATAAAACAAATTTAAATGTGCATTGAATGTGCTTGTCACAATTTGACAGTTTTTTTTTAAAGTGAATGAAAAAACTCATCAGAAAAAAGATTAAAAAAACAGAATGATATCTTAACTGTATGGGAACAAATACAGTAATAGAAACTAAAAATGCAGTACTTTACACTATCTAGCATAAGAATTTAGTCACGTACACTGCAAATGTTCCTCTGTCTGATCTGCCTCATCTGACCACATTCTTAGCCACATCACACCTTTTGTTTTCTCTGTGTATACATGTATGAATAATCACTTGCTGATTTTGTGCTGGGAGCATAAAGAACCATCCTCTGTGAACAAAATGACTTCAGAAGTGACCCCTTTTCACAGAAGGTCAACACATGAGTAGGACGTCAGCTCAGATGGGAGTTAATTGTGATCTCTTTACCTACGTTCAATTAGCAGCTTGTCTGTACAACTGTTATAATTAAAGGGGCTTTGACTGTTATCTGATACAGTATTTGTGGTTGAGTAAATTGATATACAGTTTATTTTCATGTTTTGGAGTTCAGTGTAACAGTTGTGTAACAGTGCATGGAGGCATTTGAACACTGAGCTGCAGAAACACAGTTTTGCTAAAGGCTGTGAGAAGAGAATTAAATAATTTTGTTAATTGTAATAACTAATTTCATTCTTTATAAAAGGATAAACTGTTCATCGTTTGGTCCAAACAGAGTGCTGTTGAACTAACTGTGTCAAGAGTTTGAAAAAACAGAACTTGTTACTAAAAGTCTTTTTAGAAGTTGTAAAAACTGTAAACTACACTGTGAAGTTTGCACCTGCAGATCATGAAATAATGATACATGAAATAATTACTTACTTCTGAGTCACTGTCACTTTACTGTTGATCTGTGGGGGGAGTTTTGTCTCTGGTTTCTCATCATATTGGTGGGTTAGAAAAATCTTCTTCAGATCCCTCTGTAAAAAATGATCCATCTGATTGTATACTTTTTGCTTTATATCAGTAGAATAAAGATTAAAAAAACTAAAAGATTTAGAAAAATATTTTACACAATAATCATGAAAATTCCATACCTCGTTTGTAATGGAAGACACATCAAACTTTTGTTTTTCCTTCCTCAGCTCCATGGATAAGACTGTTTCCATCTCAAAAATCTGCATAGCTGCTTTACTTGTTTCAGGTTTGAAACAACATCCTCCTTAAAACATAGTGATAGTTCTGCATTAGGCAACTTTATATGCTGCAAAGAAACTTTACCAAGTTTAAGATGTGAAAACAAACCTGTGACATTGCTGATTCCATGCAACACAGTGTTGCGCCCTTTACCAACAATCACAGCATCCACAACAATGTTTGAGGTCATCAGCTTCTTTGCGACTTCAACTGATGTGCATGTTGACCTGTGATTTTTTTTAGAAAAGCAAAAATGATTCTTCCTGGTGTCTTAACTTAGCTAGGCAAATACCTCAGGGCCATAGGCCAGGCAGAAAGCAAGGGATGTGATTTAAGTGTTTTTTTAATATCAGTATATATTTCTATTAGGACTGTCATGATTACTTGAATAAAATGCATTAAACAATTAAATGATTAGAAATTACAGCTTAGTGATTAGTTTTCAATTTGAATGATAAACAGTTTCATAAAACAGCACCGGTTGCTATTTTATGAGCAAAAAGCCAACTGAGAGGTGATCTGCTGTCTGTGGGAAATGCCAGTTTCAGATTCAAAGTCGTGTTTCATGTTTCATGTGTTAACAAGATTAAGTCAACAACTTCCAAACTGAAGAGATCCCCACAGATGCAGGTGGCACTGAAGATAAGGCCCTCACTGTCTCTGCTTTCCTCCACCACTCATCTGAGACTCCGACATGTAAGGAAGACATGAACAAACTAAAATCCAAATTTTTAAAGAAAGTCTTCTGTTGGACGCAGTGATGAAGACATCGCAGGGTAAAAGGATGTTAATTTCGGGACCTACAGACAAGGTAATGAATCTTTTAGCAACTTTTAGAATTGGACACTTGGCTAATGTCATGGTGCTCTGAGCAAAGCTTTGGCTTTATTAGTAACTGGGATCTGTTTTGGGAAAGGCCGTTTTACTGTGCAGCAGTCGGCAGCCGAGCTGGAGTTCTCACAGATAACTTTATGAAAGTCGCTCCTCATTCACCAGCTTGTTTGAATTTACCCGTTCCACTTAAAATGGTGCAGCAGTTACATTCTGGCGCCTCAGGCATTATTTAAGGTGGAACGGGAAAATTCGAATGAGAAGCTGGTGAATGAGAAGCGACTTCAGCCTCGTAAAATGTAGAACATTGAGAGACATTGTTTAAGAAACTGTTTGACTTTTGTGGAAAAGTTTCCTGCTGGAGATGTGAGAAAAGCAGCTACAGCTGAGCTAAACCTTAAAGCAGAGCAAAGTCAGTCTGCGTTTTTGTTTGTATTATATTTTTAGCCTGTACTAGCACATTAGCACGTACTGAGACACATTTACAACCAAGATGGTAAAATGGACTCAAAATGTTGTGGCTCCTAAGGTGGTTTGATTTTTGTTGAAAGGATAAAATGACTCTCATTACCATTTGGGTTGCGACTCCTGCACTAGCTTTTAATGTAGTGTGCCGCCACAGACTGTCCGGCCACTGCACTTCCGCACTTTACAAAGTTCCACCTTTTGCACTCCGTCAACATTACGTTATTAAAATTTAGAAAATAAATTTTTGACATTTGTGAATCGATTCAGAATCGTCAATCGTCAGCATTGCTATGCATCTAAGAATCGATTCCCCCCCCCCACCCCCACCCCTAATTCCTTGGGTTTTTCAATGATCCAGCCTATATTCGCAATGATATCTCTTGTTTCTTTGCCTTTCCTGAATCCTGCTTGCATGTCTGGCAGTTCTGTTTCAATGTTAAGGCTCTAATTTGTATTGAATGATCTTAAGGATAATTTTCCTGGAGTGTAATTTTAAGGAAATTGTGCGATACTTGACACTCTTTCTTGTCTTTCTTTGGAATTGAGATACAAACTGACATTTTCCAATCTGCTGGCCATTGAGCTGCTTTCCATATTTGTTGGCATATTTGGTCAGTACTTTAACTTAAACTTCTTCCGAGAAGTTCAAACCTGGATGACCGTAATGTTGAATGGTTGTGCACAAAATCGCCACCACTCAACCATTCACAGTGCTGTATCCAATAACAGCCGTGTTGACATCCTTGTGGACAATGAAAGCCACTCCATTCCTTCTTTCGTGTTCATGACCTGAGTAGTACATGGTGTGTTCCCCTGACTGAAAGTGTTATAATTTTAGCTTGGCAATCCCAAGGATGTTGATGCGTAGATGATCCATTTCTGTCTTCACTACTTCCACATTGCCATAATTCATATTTACATTCCTGAGGGTCTTCTGGCACTATCTCAACAATCATTCTGTTGTGTCTATCGATGTGGTTTTCTTGGTAAAGTACAGTAGTGGTTTCTGCCACAGGAGACCCTGAAAGGAGTTAAAGCTTCAGGCAGCACAGCAGTCTGCTTCTCCAATGCAGGAGAGCCTCCTTGCCTCAAAAAGGCCAAAAAGGCACCATACAATATGAAGTTATCATATTCTTAAAAATTCTACTATGAGAAATATCAGATATATTTACTATATTTAAGATGTTTTCACTTGTTTAGATATAATTTTCTTGCAGTGTACCCACTCCTGTCTACCTGCATGCCCTTTCACCCTGTTGATAAGACTGAAAGCCTTGGCTGGATCTCATGGACACTCTATGGAATGGTATCGCTCATGTCATTGTATTGCTATCCAGTATCAACCAGAGGAGGATGGGTTTCCCTTTTGAGTCTTGGTTCTTCTCAAGGTTTCTTCCTCTTGCTCTTTATAAATTTGAATCGAATAGAATTGAACAACATACCCAGTGTCAACGCCATCGGTCAAACACAGAATGCGGCATCTGCAGTCAGGAAATCTTGCTTTGACTTGAGTTAGTTCTTGAATTCCATGATTCAAAGCATCATACAGTGAAGTCCCTGTAGATGTCCGAAGACCATGAACATATTCCTGAGAAAAGCAGAAGATTGGCATCATAATTTTTTTCAGGAAATAAAATCTAAAAGTGTAAATGCCATGTATCCCACAATAAGTAAAATAAAAGAAAAATCTTTTCTTGTGGGAGTGAAATAGTAAATTGTTAGGAAAACTTAAATGCATTTCTTAGAGATGTGTAGCAACACTCACAATCAAAAGACTCACTTAATTGTTTTTTTTTATCATTATTCAATAATAACACGTACAGTGTATATTAAAATTATACAAGCTAGCCCTTTCATGCACGGTGTGCCAACATTTTTGTAACTTTATAAATATAGATGATATGGTTGTAAGAAAAAATCTTTTAAATTTTGGAAATCTTTGAAAAAAATAAAAAAAGTTTAGACACCAATATTTAAAGTTGTTGTGAAGATCAAAAAGTTATTTATTCCTAAATAATGTATCTCTGTATCTGCTTTTAAAACATAACTCAAATCATGCCTTTCTCTCCTATTAAATTATCATTCAGTATCAACTGATGCTTTTTTTTTTGTTATTTTTGTTTGTTATATTTGTTAAGGATCTTCCTGTTTGTTTCTGTGCACATTCTGTTTTTTTTTTCCTCATGGATTTGACTTGACTTGATTTTTTATAAAAGAACACTGTGTATAAGAAAAGGCCCTATAACATAAAACATTATTATTATTATTATTATTATTATTATTATTATTATTAATAATACGCAGTTATGTAATCATTTCTATCAGTAATGTCTTCTTTAGGCATTTATTTACAGTAAGCTGCCTTGAGATTGATCACCCCTATGAATACAATGAATATGAATATTAATTTTATTGGAAATTCATTCCAAATGTGAAATTTTATTTGAACTTCATTCTAAATGTTACTTTTATTAGAACTTAACTCTGATTGTTAGATTTT